TTGTTAGTTTATTTCAGCTTCGTATTATTATTTTAACTTGAGTTCTGACATCTTCATTTTAAATGACTGGTAACATAAAGGCATGTGGTTGGAAAAAATATTCAATAACTATTAAAATGCTAGACTAATGAAAAAAGCAAAAACCACCAATATCTTTGATCTTGGGATACTGTCAGCTCTCTCATTATCTCAGTTCTTGCTGACCTGAAATATTTTACCAATGTCCCTCACTTTCCTTCTTTCTATCTCAGAAAACCTCAATTCACAGTTATTTTATTTAAAAAAAAAAATTTAAAAAAATCAATACAGTCCTGGCAAAACCAGCCCCCAGACATGATATTTAAGATAAAAAGAAGGAAGAACTTAATTTCCAGGATCTGGAAAACAAGTTTTCATAGAGGATTTGTCTTTACAGAGACTCAGTATTTAGGTATCGTCTACCACTTGGAGCTCAGATTAAAGTTTATTTTAATTAAAATAAACAAAGTATCTCAGTATGACACTTTTTCTTTATGCCTTTGACAGATTTATGGAGCAAATCTAATTTGGTAATGCCTCTTCTTTCAACACTACCAATTTCCAAACGCGCATGTAACTGTTTTTGAGGGCGTAGTGCAAGCAAGTTTTCTTAGAAATTTCAAAAGGTCTTTCCTAAAAAGAAATAAGGTGTAATACAATTTCTTATTTTAACTAAAATCTCTAAATATATTTAGAATTCCACCATAAGCACTGCAGAAGATGTAACACAAAGATACTCTGAATCAAAGCTATCAAACTGTAGCCTATAATAAGCAGCCTTCTTGAACAATTCTAAATTGTGCAATAAGTCAAAATAAACATGAGCAACTAATAGTCCTTTGAGATGAAACTTTAATGAAGCTTTTCACTTTTTACTGCCTCATAATTGTACTCACTTTCAGGAAGAACTGCTAGCATTACTGCTCCAATTTCTCAATTTAGGGAAAATTCTAAGCTACATTTGTTTCAAGCTGACATCCCCAAAAAAGTGTCCTTTTACTATATACAGATTCTACAGGTCTTTTGTACCTAAATCACCCTCATTAGCAATAATACAGCTGTGATGCAAGGTTGCCTGCAGGTGAGCCAATCCACTACTTCCCACACTGTGCCACAAATATATCCAGGTCAGACTGGGTAATTGCTCATACAAATACTTTGACTACATTTTCTGTCAGAATTAGCAGCAGAAAAAAACAGAGAAGAGTAAAGAGAAGTACTTTGTATATTACAGCTGCTAATTCTTAGGATAAACACAGCATACAAGAAGAAACTAGAATCTGTGGCAATGGGAATATTACCTTGGCGGCTATCAGATCTTTCAAAAAAACATAGGTGATTGCCATTAGGTTTATAAACAGCTAAGCTTTTTCTTACTTGCATGATACATCTGAAGAGAAAATATTTTCAATATTATTCTTTAATAATCAACACAAAACATTGGCTGTATTAGAACTGAAAACAAAACTAATCCAAAGCATTAAGATTTTCTACTTAATTTTTGATTGCATTCATCATCATAACACTAATATTTGAAGCATTATAAGAGTAACCTTGTTCTGTTGTTAGACTAAAGCAATGCTTAATTGTTAGCAAACTGTAAAAGAAGGATGTTATTTATTTTCTCTATTTTTGATAGAGTTAGTGCTGCTTCTTAAAGATCAAGTTGGCTCTGCACAAAAAAAATATCAAGAATATATATTTAAAATGAAAAGAGGAAAGCACAACCAAATAATAAAAAGAAACCAAGTGAGAGATGACTCAAGCATTAAAAAAAATTATTAAAAAAAAATCAAGCAAATCACATACTTAAAATGGTTTGCAGAGGCTGGCACTTCTGACTGAAGAAGCAAATTAAATGAATGTCTGGTGCCTCTGAAACCACAGGCAAGATGACAATGTAACTGGACTTAAAGAGAGAAAAGTAGTGTCCCAACATCAAAGAAAGCACAATGAAAAAGAAAAAAGAAAAAAAAAAAAAAAAAAAGGAAAAAAGAAAGTTGCATCCAATTTCCATCCATCCAAGAACTAACTAGAAAGATTTTAGAATCCTTAACATTGCATTGTTGTTTTTAGCTTAAACAATGCCCGAGGGGTTTTTTTCTGAGCATTCAAGTCTAACTGAATTTTCTCATGACTGTAAGTATGCATGGCAAAGAGCCTCAAAATCTTACTGAACTATTTCATTGATACTTTCCTGCTACTTTCTTTTCCCTGGCAATACACAGACAGAAACTGTTCCCTTAATAAAGTGACACCAACAATAGAAATGAATGCAAGAGAATGTTGACTCAGAAAGAAACAAATAATGAAGAACATTTTGCTATGAAAGACTGTGGTCTTTCAGAGTAACATGGCAATTCTTACTGTCCCACAATGGAAAGGAAAATTGAGTCATTAACTATAGAGTAAAATAAATTTCAGGCACAGTTCAGGACTCCATTAGCCAAGGAACATCATGACTATGAAGACATTTTGAAATACGTATTTTTGCCTAAGAAAAGGTAAAAATCAAGGAAGAGGATGAGAAACAGGAACGTACTTCAGGTATTGCCTACTCTACTATAAAAACACAAGCAAAATTATCCTTCAGTATTATCAGTAACAATACAAACACCAATTAGAATACAAGCTTTAACATGTATAACACTCAGAGTCAAAATTGTCTTGATTCAGTTAAGAATGATTTTATAAATCGAATTTAGCATTAAAGATAAAGACTCAGCTATTTGGAGATAATTGTATGCCTAAAGACCATTGATTTTAATAGCATTTAACTACTTTCATGTACTTAAAAATATCTAAAAATCAAAACTGAAGTCTACATAATGGAGCAAATCAATGTATAAAAATCTTGTATCAGCCAACACTGAAATAAAGGAAAACAACACTACTTCCTGTTTATTAGAGCAATGTATAAGTGTATTATTCAACTGGAAAACCTTTCCATGTTCTAGCAAAACACTCCAGAGGAAAAAAAAAATCAGTCTGTTACTAGTTAGCTTTGATACTCTTGAGTTTTTGTTGAGGATAATTTAATCCATACCATTTAACAATGAGGCTTTTAACCCTTCTCTTTCCAAGCACAGTCAAATAAGATAAAGAATTTTTTTCTGCAGTCACCATTAAACTCAGAAATATTTAAAGTTAAGTAAATGAGTTAACCTGAAGCTGTATGTTATAAAGTCAGATAAGCAAAGAAATCCCTTTTGGGTGAAAGACTAATATAACAAAATTTTTTAAAGCATATTTAACTTATTCTAGTGAAGTTTCAAATTCACTGTGTTGTGGTTTAACCCCAGCCAGCAACTAAGCACCACGCAGCCGCTCACTCACTCCCCCCCATCCAGTGGGAAGGGGGAGAAAATCGGGAAAAGAAGCAAAACTCGTGGGTTGAGATAAGAAAGATTTAATAGAACAGAAAAGAAGAAACTAATACTGATAATAACACTAATAAAATGACAACAGTAGTAATGAAAGGATTGGAATGTACAAATGATGCACACGGCAATTGCTCACCACCTGCCGACCAACACCCAGCTAGTCCCCGAGCGGCGATTCCCTGACCCCCCTCCCCAGTTCCTATACTAAATGGGACGTCCCATGGTATGGAATACCCTGTTGGCCAGTTTGGGTCAGGTGCCCTGGCTGTGTCCTGTGCCAACTTCTTGTGCCCCTCCAGCTTTCTCACTGGCTGGGCATGAGAAGCTAAAAAATCCTTGACTATAGTCTAAACACTACTGAGCAACAGCTGAAAACATTAGTGTTATCAACATTCTTCACATACTGAACTCAAAACATAGCACTGTACCAGCTAATAGGAAGACAGTTGATTCTATCCCAGCTGAAACTAGGACAACTGGCTCCTCATTTTCACTGTCAATTACCCTCCTGCTTTATGTGGCACTTTTAAGAAGAAAATAGAGAGAAAGAAAAAAAAAATAATCAAGAAAATGAAATTACAAAGAGCTAGGTATGTTTTTACTTCCAAGCAACAGTTTGAGGAAGACTAATCGTTCACCGGATGATGTCTGTTTTCTTACAGTGCAAAACATGTGACAGTGCAATAGGCTGAAGAATGACTTGCAGAATCATAGCTTAAACCAACGGATGGGTCAGACAATGAATGAGAAAGAAGTTGGGACCTAAAGTAATACTTCCCAAATCAGTACAAGTTTGGATTCTGAGCAGTAAGTTTGATCAACAAACAAACATTAAGCAGAAATTCTGCTTCCTCTAGTGTGGGATTTTCTCCCCCACTACAACCAGTACTAACTTCAACAATGTGGGCATAAGCTGAGCAAAGAGAATGGCATATTGAAAAATCCATCCGGTTCAGAGTGGCATTCAATCTGCACAATGAATGAAGAGGGCTTCTACATCAGTCTTAAATGCTTGCCTTTGCAAACTCTAAAATATGAGCATTGTTTGTCTATTATATGGAGGAGAAAAACAAAAACAGTGCCAAAATCACTGGCTTACACATTAAGAAAAAAATAACAACAGCAATATTTGAGAATATCTTCACAGGTATTAATTCATGAGTGTCCCTAACTTAATGAAAACTTAACAGGAGAATAAGATTTTTGTTAGGTTTACCCCTTCATGGAACTATATAGGGAATACTTTTCTAAGGCAATGAAATGAGCTTAAATTATAGACAGAAAACTAATTTGCAATGAAGTGAGCTTATATTATAGACAAAAAACTAATTAGACATGGATTTCTATGCCTATGTAACAAAAAAGACAATGGTAGCAGTGCTATTTTAGGAGTTAAAAATGGAACCTTACCATACATAAAATTCTCAGGGGATTGTTGCGCATCTCCTAGATTCAGACAGGTCAGTATTTAGAAAATTAAAACATCAATCCACTTTTACAACAGTGAGACAAATATTTACCAGCTCTCCTCCAAGTAATACAATGAAAGCTATTTTTGACCCTGTGTTACCCCAACTACCCTCAAGATCAACAACGTACCATTCTGCTACTGGTTTGGCAATGCTGTCGAAAACCACATCTTGTTTTGCCTCTTGATCAAAAATTTTCTGAAATCTGAAAATATTAAGCAAATAATAATTGCTTAGAATCTTAAAACACTACTTGATTCATACATTTTGCTTGTGTTTTTAATAGTCAATGTTTACATCATTAGGCTTACATAACTTAGTACAATGTTTTCCCTGTAGTCTTAACCACAGCATGCCGCTGTGCTATTGTACATAAATAGGCTGTACACAGTGCTGCTTTGACAAGATCTGTACAATTAAATCCTCTGATAAAATGATGTGGCTTCGAAAAAAAATAAACATATTTTAAACCTATCAAGAGAATCAGTGTTTGTAACTGGCACCACACTGAAACCTGGATAAATAGATTACACTATAACCAAATAGAGCATCTCACCAGTACAGCCAGGCTCACATTTTTTAATAACTATTTCTTTCTTTCTGCTGCACAGTTACTGTAAGTCACAAGGAGATATTTAATTCAATCTAAGTTTTGTCACTTCCTATATAAAATATCTGCAGTTGTCTTACAGAATCATAGAATACTTGAGGTTGCAAGGGGCCATCTTGCCCTCAGAGAGTCAGCTAGAGCAGGGGTCTGTCCAGTCAGGTTTTGAGTATGTCAACGCATGGAGGCTCCGCAACCTCTCTGAGCAACCTGTTCCAGTATTTGATCACCCCACAGTAAAAAAGTTTTTTTGATATTTCTTGTATGTCAATTTGATTGCCCATTAACTCTTCTCCTGTCACTGGGCACCACTGAGAAGTATCTGGCTCCAACTTCTTTATTCCCCCACTCCCCATCAGGTGTTTATACACATTGATAAGATTCCCTTGAGCCTTCTCTTCTCCAGGATAAACAGTCCCAGGTCTCTCAGCCTCTCCTCACATGTCAGATGCTCCAGCCCCTTAATCATCTTTGTGTCCCTTTGCTGGAGCCCAGAACTGGACACAGAACTCCAGATGTGATCTCACTGGTGGTGACTAGAGGGACAGGATCAACTCCCTTAACCTGCTGACAATGTTCTTCCTAATGCAGTCCAGAGGCTGTTGGTCACCTTTGCTTCAGATGGTGTATTGCCGATTCATGTTCCACTTTTTGTCTACCAGGGCAGGGGGTTTGGAACTAGATCATCTTTAAGGTCCCTTCCAACCCAAACCATTCTATGATTCTATGACTCCAGGTCCTTTTCTGCAAACCTGCTTTCAGTCAGCCCTGAGCCTGTCCTCACCAGGAGCAGGACTGGCATTTCACTTTGTTGAACTTCATGAAATTCCTATTGGCCCATTTCTCCAGCCTCTTGAGGTCCTTCTGAATGGCAGCACAACTATCTGGTGCTTTGTACCCCTGAAGACAACCCTCTGAGCCCAACAGCTCAGCTCATTTTCAATACCCCTCACTGTGCACTTATGTAGGCTTTCCTGATCCCATTCCTCAGACAGCCTTCCTGGGTCACGTGACACTGCTCCCACCTCTTGTACACTTCCTTTTTATGTTCGCATTTAGTCAGGAGCCGCTTCCTTATCCATGCAGACCTCCTGCTGCCTTTGTGTCATTTCCCGTTCATTTGCATGGACCATTCTTGATCTTGGAGGAAAATCAGCCAGCTCTTCTGGACTTGTCTCCAGGGCTGTGTCTCATGGAATTCTTTCAAGCAGGTCCCTGAACAGGCCATAGTCTGCTCTCCTGAAGTCCGGGGTTCTGATCCTGCTTTTTGCCTTGCTCCCTTCTCTCAGTATCCTGAATTTCACTATCTTATGGCCACTGCAGCCAAGGCTACCCCCAGGTTTAATATCCCTGATCAGTTCTTCCATGTTTGCAAATATGAGGTGCAGCAGAACTTCTTGCCTCATCGGCTTTTTAATCATATGTTAGGAAGTTGTCACCCATACATTCCAGAAACCTTCTGGACTGCTTGTGCCCTGCTGTGTTGTCCCTCCTATCGGGAACTGTATACTCACATAGAACTTCACAGGGTATATAGAAAGACACTATGGACACCAGGTATAAAAAGGCACCACAACTACAAGGGATTATGCAGTGTGTACAATATCAAAAACAAATGTGATACACAAAATACAGATGCATATATTCTATCCTGCTAATGCTTAACCAGTCAAGTAATTCAAACGATTGTGTTTGATTCTTATATAAAAGAGTAAGAACAAAGGAGAATAACGTTTGAGGTGACGAGGGTAGATAGACTGCATGAAAGGGTGAGTTTTATGGAGGAAAAAGAAAAGCTTACTCCATAGCGTTATTTTTGCATTGTCTTAAGGATAATAAGGCATAGTGCTTCTCAAAATCCATCTCTACAGATTTTTCAATTAATTATAAAGTCAGAAGAAAACATCAGCATTCATTATAGCTGGCTTGGGCATCTGCAACCTAAGCTAATTTTGCATATTAATCTAGTTGGAGAGGGCAGCTCCTCTCTTCCCAAGCAGAACAGATTTCCTTAGCTGATGTAAAATGACATCAGTCTGAGCTGCAGATGTTTATCTGGGGCTCTCTTTTTTAACAGCGTAGTGCAACAAATTTACTTTATTTGTATTATAAAAACAAAGACTATTAAACTTGGAAGAAGACAACCTCAACATCATCATTAGAGGTGGTTATAAATCTAGTTTTCTTTATCATCAAAATTTTAAAGTGTTGCCTCCAAGTTTTCTGTTGAAAAGATAAAAATATTTAATTGATATTGCTGGTACTTATTTTTAGTTTCTAAAAAATATTTGTATTCTACAACCATGGTTTTGTTTATTTCAACAATCTCTGATTTTCTTTAGTGTGTTTTGGTTATGTCTGAAACAGAGTTTCTAAACAGTGTTTTACATCAGGACATCTTTAGCCAGCCTATGCCAACTCATTAGGTCACAAGAGAACACACAGTCCTCCATTCAATTTTCATATGAAAACTCAAAACAAGCTGTAAAAATGGAAGAAATGATAAATGAAGATGCAATCTTTGAGATGAGACTTAGAAATGTATAATGACTTGCAATGGTTAGACAAAAACCCCACGACTTTATCCAATGCTATCAAACTCGTTCAGGTGAAGAGCATAGTATGCTGGAGTATTCCTCTTGTTAAGGGAGTTGTATAAAAATAAACCTATCTATACCAAAACTTAATTTTAAGAGTAGGCTTTTCGTGGTTCTATAGATCTGTATCACTACATATAGTGATAGCAATCACTAAAGGCAGAAGATATAAAGGTAAGGCTTTTACTTACTTGAACTTGTAGCTCTCTCGTTTATTATTGACGAACCCATCTGCTAAATCACGCGGCACGATAATCTCCAGACTGGACAGAGATTTCTCATCGTCATCAACTGAATAAATCTAATAAGCATGGATATAAATTAACAAATTAATTTTATCAATAGAACAGCATAGCCCTTAGGTATAACATCCATGTAAACTTAGCACCTGTAACTGACTGAAAAAACCCTTCATACAAATTTCACTTAATACGTAAGCAGATCCTCCTTCAGCTATTACATGACAAAACAAGCACATACTAACATTATCCTGTTTGTTACCACGTAAACACAACAGTAAGATTTGAAACAGAAACATAGCCTCTTTGACATATTTTGCTTACTAAACCACTTTAATATCTGAGATGTTATAACAAACAAAGCACAGGCCCCAGTGCAACCCCCTCCAAAAAAATGGAAAAGTATATTAGGAAAGACTACAACTGAAGGAGTAGAGCTGGTTTAAAACAGGAAGACGATTAAGAGACCTAAATGCACAATTTCTGAGGAACACTTTCATTATCTTTATTATAAAGACCGGGAGCTACAGGTTCTCCTCCAATGTTCAGAACAGTGTTGAACTGCATAAATGTAAAACAAATGCTTTTCCTGTGGAGCCTTTCTGTAACGACTAGGCAGAAAAGAAGTTCCTCACTCCCTCCCCCAATAATAGTTACAGTCTAAGCTCCTGTACTTCGTGATTTTACTAACTTCCAAAGGCTTGCGGAGAACAGTACAGGGCTGGCTTTCTGCTCCGCACCCGACCACGTACAAACTCCCCTAGCTCTCACCAGCCGGCCGTACCGGCAGGGCCTCTGGCGGGAGGGGCACGCTCACTGCCCGCTCCCTCCCGCCTTCATGCGGCCCCACAGCACGCAGGCCCACGGGACGCCCTTTGGCTCGCCGCAGCCGCCCCACTGCACCCCTCGGCAGCACCGCAGCTGGCTCCCCATCCTACCCCCGCCTGCTGCTGCCTGCCCAGCGGCTTCACCCGCGCGTACACCCGGATGGTTTCCTTCACCATCGCTGCCCGCCGAGCGCGGGGCAGCTGGCGGCGCCACTCGCCTAGCAACGGTAACCACAGCACGCTACCCAGCGCGCACCGCGGCTGACGGGAAGCGGCGCGCGGCTCCTGTGAGGCGGGTCCGGCTCCCGCCGAGTCACCTCACGCCCTCGGCTGTCTTTGGCAGGGCTTGGAGGAGGACAAGGGAGCAACCGGGTTCCATCTGCGAGGGGCAGCTGCCACCCTCGCCTGCTTAGCCGTTAATGGTAATTCCCTGACAGCTGTTTTCCCTGGGGCCGAAGTATCGTGGCAGTGAGAAAAGGGAGCTTGTAAACACTGCCCAGCTGAGAGGTGCACTATTTATGTTGTGTGTGGATCGCTCCACTGGCACACCAGAAATTCCCCACCAGATTTCTGGGGTTGTGTGTTACCTGTGTGTCCATGTAGCCCTCCTCCAGCTGGAACCACCTGTGTAAGGCCACTCGGTTCAGGAGAAATGTCTTTGTTAACCAGTTGAAACATCAGAACAGGAAATTGGGGAAAAATACCTAGATTACATGCAATGAAGACATCAATTTTTTTTTTTTTAATTCTAATATAAAAAATGTTCTGAAAAAAACTGCTAGTGGGAAATAGAGGGTGTTGGGAAATAGAGGGTGTTGTCATCTTATGAGAGCTAAACTTACACAGAAGTAACAGTAGGACCCTGTTACTCTGTGAAGCGGTTACCGAAGAGTCACGCACACAACAGGATAGTATTTTGGCCTTAGTTTTGGTGAGATATATGGTAAAGATCAGATTACAGTGATTACAAGTCCACTAATTTAAATTAAGTGGAAAATCAGGGACTTGATTACGGGGGAGGGTAGAAATTTCTCCAACTCGGATATGGTAAAAGTATGTTGAACTTGTATTCCAAATAAGAAAAACAGTAGGGGAAAGGTTTTCTGTCCCAACTGAACAAATAACTGTCTCAGAAAGCACATGAGGCATAAGTAGTGAGCCTTCAGGGAATGAAATGGAAAAGGACTAATCACCAACTAAAGTCGATTGCAAAAGTCAAAAGGGTAAAAATGAAACCAAATGGAAAATATTACTTTGTGATTAAATAGAGAGTGAAGGGAAAACAGGACATTGGAATGGGGTAATGGAATAAATAGTATCTTCTCAGCATTGCTCCAAAACTACAAAAAAATTTTGTCCCTTGTCAGTAGGGATGGGGATGCTGAAGGTGATGTTAGAGGCAGAAGTGACTAACAGGAAGGAAGTGGGTGAGGGAAATAACTGAAGCCAGGAGGGAAGCAGAACCCACAGAGCTCAATCAATCTAGACTGGGAGATGGGGATTTGGGAGAGAAGAGTAGATAATTTAAGTCCCAGAATTCTGAAAGAATTGGGATGTTTAATTCAAGGTCCAGGAACTGTGGGGGTTTGTTGGTTTGTTTGTTGGTTTGCTTGGTTTTGTATTGAAACAGATGCAGGAGAGTACAGTATTCTTGGAAAACCACAAAGGTAACAGTCAACTGTGTAATTTAGCAGCTTAGCTGGATTGTGAATTAACTGGGCAGTGGACATTGAAACACTGCAGTTAGCTGTGTGGAAGGCCGTTTTGTGTCTGCTGGTGTTCAGTAGCTGGAATACAGAGTTGACTGAATGAGACTATTGCTTTTGGGACAAAGTCTGATCTGCAAAGTGTTTAGATGTCCTTCTTCAACATGAAGTCTGAGCTGTAAACTCTGAACCAATGGCACAGTGAAGAGACACCCAACTGGATTTGCATAGGATTAGTCTGAATATGATATGGCCTGGACAGAGAAGCCAATAAGCCATCTCAGACTCAAGCTGCTTCCAGCATAAAAGCATAGTCTGAATTTCTGAAAGGGAAGAAGGAATCCTGGGCCACCTGCAGAATGGTCACTTACGCAGCAAGAGAAGAACAAAGATAACAGAAAGGACTCACAATTATCTTCTAAAAGACCCTTTTTATTACACAGCTGTCCTTGAAGAAATGCTAGAGTCTTTCTGTGTTGTACTCCACAATACATTGCCATCAAGAAAGGCATGTTAGCCCAGTGGCACCCAGCTCAGAATTAGCACTCTAGGCTTATTGGTCCTTCTGCAAAACAAAAGCTGCATCATTAATCTGAGCAGCAAAATTATTCAGGTTTTCCTCTTGAGTGGAGTATGTGGTATGTTGACCGCAGAAGAATGGAGATCAGTGGAAGAGTTATAAGATGGGTGAGAACCTAGTTAAAGGTGATCTAGTATAGTTAAGAAAAATGTATTCTTGGACCGTAAGGAAATTATTAGTAGACTTTTGTGAGGAGATGGATCTTATGTAATATTTTAATTAATAACTTTGTGCCAAAAATGGGAGTGTATATCAATTAAACTCTGATGATGTGGCTGAGAGTGATATGTGCTGAAGAGGATCAAGATGTCTGGGAGAAGATGAATGACTATGAGGATTAGAGGAATAGACATGGATAACCATTAATTGTGGTGTAAGTTGCAAAATCAGGCAGGCATGTAGGACTGAGGACTAATGACAACACATTTTGTTACAATCTGGAATCCATTCAGCTAGAAGTGTCAGAAGATTTTCCTTTTTGTAGAAGTCCAGATGACAGCTGCCAATGAAAAAAGGCAGCTATGGTTCTTCAGTGAATTGGGAATGTGTCCTACAAAGCAAAGAAAACATTCACACTATTGTACAGGGTCCTGGTGAGACCTCCAGCATGCTTACTGTGTGTGTTTACGGTCAGTTATTTTTATTTCTTCAAGTTTTTGAATACAAGGGCTACTAGAATGCTTAGGCTGATGGAGATTTTGCTGCAAGAGAACAGACCACTAGGACTTGATTTATTTAGCAAAGGCTAAATATGACAGGCTATATGTGTGTGTATAAATACACTAAAGGGAATTGATGTGGAAGTAGAAGAATCTTCTAAGATAGACATAAAAAATGGAAATAATTCAATGTGAATAAACACACACTGGAAAGCAGAAAAAAATTAAATGCATTAGGTGCTTGATTAGTCCCTTTGGATACTGGAGAAAACAGAATAAACTTCTGAAAGAGTACTACATGATCACTTATGTTAGCAGAGGTTTGACCCAGAATGTGAAATCAAGAACCTCTATTCCAAAAAGTTTTTAAGATCATTGAAACATCTTTCTAGAACTGTACTAGGAATGAGAAGTCAAAGACAGCATGAGCACTTTCTCTTCCTCCAAGCCACTTGATGGAACTCAACTTCACCTTATTTTGTTATCTTAGCTGTGCTAATATCTCCCTGCCTGTGTGTAATGTGTATCTATCTTCTGTATAAGGTCACTGTCAATGGATAATCTGGAGTTTGTTAAAAATAAATGCTCCTAGTTGTAATTTTTAGGCTGTAGGGAACCTTCAGTCAACTTCGTAATTCGTAATGCTACAAGGCATACGCTGCTCATAATTAGATGGGTCAACAGTTGCACATTTCCCAGAAAATATAAAATAAAAATCTCCAAGTGAAAGAACTTCCACAGCTTGATTTTTTATCCTATTGTGCATCTTTAGGTCTTCATTTCACCTGTAAGAAATCAACCTTTCTCATTTTACTGACTCTTGTTTTCCTAGTCTCTAAGGTCTTTGTCTACTTCAGCTTATCCAGTACAGAAGTTAATAACAAATTGAATATGGTTCTTCTAAAGGTCTTCACTGTGGTTTTCATTTTCATGTAGAGTTCCTGAGGTATTTAAATCCAAAGTTCAAAATAATGTAGCGGTGGCAGCAAAGAAGGTTTTTTGCTGCTTCAAAGAGAACAGTAGCACTACGGCTCACCAGAAGGCTGAGATGCTTGGAAGTTAAGTCTTGGTAGAGAATTTTATGTCATCCTCTTAAGGCAAACCCGTATGCTCAAGTATGGTCAAGAAAGAAAAGAAAAGACAAAACTTTTCCTCACTTGGTTCAGTCATTCTAGCAACTTAAGAACAAAGTCAGGTGTTGTCTGCGCTTATTTCAGTAGGTTGAATCCAGCTTCTCTTGTGCTTAGGAGCAAGAAGTGTTGATAAGTACTATATGAGGTTCAAAGCAGTTTCCAAAAGAGTTCATTTTGTCCTTGAGAGACATTCTAGTTCAATAAGAAATTATCAATTTGCTTTAGGAATTAATGGACAAAGTTTTATGTTGTGTGTTATACAAGAGGTCACATTCCATAGCTTTAAAGACTTCCAATTTCAAAATAGATAACCTCTACATTTTGTGTCCTTGAGTTACAACTAGCTTATATGTGAGTATTTTTGTATAGGATTTGAAAAGTGTCAAGCAAGGGAAAATTTATGCCATTGTGGAAGATAAATTTGTAGCAGGCTCCCATTTTTGCAACTGTTGAGAGATATACATTTAAGAATGAAGACATACAGAGACCTAATCTCCTAATGTCTTGTAATAATACTTACTATCTCCTAGTATCTTATTTGCTGAAGTAATGTGGGTATTAATATGACTGCTACATTTTCATAGGCGTTAGTCCCAGGGAAATTTTCTCTAAACTAGCGTTCTTTTTCCAGAAAAGTGATATAAATGGTCAAAGTAGTACATACAGAGGGACATATAAGAGGACAGAAACTATTCAGTACATTTAAAAGCTAATTAAAGGATTAATTAAACTAATTATTTTGTTTGAAACTGTAAAAGTAACACAAGTAACAAATTAATTACAAAAAAAACCCAAAATAACACAAAACTTTCATTAGCCAAGCGAAATTAAGACATCTGTCTCAATCTCTTCACTATTCCATGATATAACTTCATTTTCATATGAACAGGAATTTGATTAGAGTCCCCTCTGTGATGAGTCTACACACCATGTCCAGTGCTTGCTGGAAGCAAGAATCTTCACACGTAAAAAACAAACAAACAAACAAACAAAAACAAAAAAAAAAAAAACAAAAAAAAAGAAGAAAGGGAACAGTAGGTTTCCAACCTCTAGGAGAAAATAAGGTAGAGACATGCAAGAGGAATATGATGAGCAAAAG